TAGGTCCCCTTCAGTTACTGGAAGGCTGCTATGAGGTCTCAATGCAACCTTCTCTTCTCCAGGCTGAACAGCCCCAGCTTTCTCAGCCTGTCTTCATACAGGAGGTGCTCCAGCCCCCTTATCATCCTTGTGGCTCTCCTCTGGATTTCATCCAACAGTTCCATGCCCTTCTTATGTTGAGGACACTAGAACTGCACACAGTACTCCAAGTGAGGTCTCACGAGAGCAGAGTAGAGGGGCAGGATCACCTCCTTTGACCTGCTGGTCACACTCCTTTTGATGCAGCCCAGGATACGGTTGGCTTTCTGGGCTGCGAGCGCACACTGAAGCTGGCTCGTGTTCAGTTTTTCATCGACCAACACTTCCAGGTCCTGCTCTGAATCTCTTCTCTGCCCAACCTGTAGCTGTGCCTGGGATTGCCCCAGACCAGGTGTAGGATCTTGCACTTGGCATGGTTAAACTTCATAAGGTTGGCATGAGCCCACCTCACAAGCATGTCAAGGTCCCTCTGGATGGCATTCCTTCCCTCCAGCGTATCAACCGAACCACACAGCTTGGTGTCATCCTCAAACTTGCTGAGGGCACACTCAATCCCACTGTCCATGTTGCTGACAAAGGTGTTAAACAAGATCAGTCCCAGCGCTGACCCTGAGGGACACTACTTGTTACCGGTCTCCACTTGGACATTGAGTTGTTGGCTGCAATTCTGCATGCAGCCAGCCAGCCAGTTCTTTATCCATTGGGTGGTCCATCCATCAAATTTATCTCTCTCCAGTATAGAGACAAGGATGACAGTGTCAAACACTTTGCACAAGTCCAGGTAGATGACATCAACTGCTCTACCCCTGTCAGTCAGTTCTGTAGCCCTATCAAAGAAGGCCACCAAATTGGCCAGGCAGGATTTCCTCTTAGTGAAGCAATGTTGGCTGTCACCAGCCACCTTGTTATTTTTCATATGCCTTAGCATGGTTTCTGGGAGAATCTTCTCCATGGTTCTGCCAGGCATAGAGGTGAGACTGACTGGTCTGCAGTTTCCCAGGTTTTCCATTTCCCCCTTTTTAAAAATGGGCCGTTTATTTCCCTTTTTCCAGTGTTGTGAATTTTGCCTGACTGCTGTGATTTTTCAAATATGATGGACAATGGCTTATCAAATTCTTCCACCAGTTCCCTCAGGACCCATGGATGAATCTTATCAGGTCCCATGGACTTGTGCGTGTTCCTTAGGTGATTCCACTTGTCCCCTGTTAAGCTCACCTCAGCTTCTGATACAGACAATTCTCAGCACTCCAATGTCACTGCAGAGATCTAGGTGGCTTGTGTGCCCCTATACCTTGAGGGCACCAGTGTACGCTGTGCTCCAGTGTCTACTAGAACCTTCTACTTCTGTGGGTCTGATATGCCAGGCCATCAAATCTATACAGTCCAGTATACATGGTCATCCCTTTCCTCTTCCTCGGCAAGGAACAATATTCTTGTTCCTCATCAGAGTGTTCACTGTTTGACCCTTGCAATGTTAGACCAGAAGTACCCCTTACCAGGATCAAGGGAGGTGATTTCAGTTCTATATCTGGGAGACCGCTGATTGCCTTCTTGTGTCTCTACAGCAGCTATGCTGACAGCCTTCTTGGGTGACCCCTTCTTGACAGCAGTCTTCCCTTTCAATTCATGTACATGGGCTTCCAGCTTAAAGGTGAGTGCACCGTCCCACTTCCTCATGTCGTCCCTCCGGCCTTACAAGAAGAACCTGAGAACCAGAGTGCACCACATGGCATGCTCCTGGGGCTTACTTTCCCTCTGACCAGTGCAGGAGATGACTGATTTCTTGGGATGCCCCTAATAGCCAAGGTACTAGCCCATGGGGTTGAGGAGGTACAGAAGTTTTCTTGCAAGTTTTTGAGCAAAAAAGAGGCTTTCCACAGTTGGTGTATCCATATCTGAGCAGTAATTTGCTGCCAAGCTGTTAAAGTGTGATGCTTGAGCACTTTGAATCACCTTCTTCCACATGGCCCAAGTGCACATGACGTCCTTGGGATCTTTGGAGTCATCATCATCCTCTAAATCACTGTAGATGAGTTCTAGCACCGCTAGTTCTCTCTGTTACTCGCTGTCATCGTTTGCAGTAGTCTGTTTTCCTGAGGACTTCACAAGAGCTTCCTTGAATGGGTATATTTACCTCATACTTGAGAGGAGCTGTCTCCAAAGACAACAAATTGCTGCCTCTTTTCCAATTCCTCTTTAAATTCCCTGGTTTCTATTATGGTATCCCAGTTGTTGGACTTCCTTACCTTCCAGTTGTTGACTGTCACCCCCATTACCCCAGCATCAGAGCAGCCAGGCAGCAATCTGCTCACCTGGCTGGTGACTGTAAGCTATCTGTGTGTCTTGAAGTTCTGATGAGGTCAGGGACTAGGTATGTCCACTTCCTGTCTAAATTTTCCCACTCCTTCCTGCAATTTCTTTGTCAAAGGACTGACTTTCTTCTTCTCCTCCCTTACTAATTGGTGATATGGGCCCATTGTTGTTACCCACTGTTTCTTTTTCACTACTGGGGCAGATACTATAGTTGTTTGGGTCCCTATCTCAACCGTGATGTCTTCAAATGCAATTTGAGAGTAACTTGTTACTCTTTTCCCAAGGAACAAGTGATAGGACAAGCTGCACCAGGGGAGGTTAAGATTGGATATTAGCAACAATTTCTTCACTGAAATGGTGGTCAGGCATTGGAATAGTTGTGGAATGACATTCCCTGGAAGTGTTCAAAAAATTTATAGATGATGAGGCCCTTAGGTACATGGTTTAGTGGTGGATTTGGCAGTCCTGTGATACAGGTTGGACTGGATAATCTTAAAGGTCTTTTCCAACCTAGTTGATTTTATGACTCTATGATTCTGTGAACTTTCTCTGAGAGTACCAAACGGGCACAGGCCAGGCCCCAGTACAATGCTAGAAGCTGCTGGTTTTCACTGGGGTAGGCAAGGCACCCTCCTATCAGGTGGTGCGTCAGTTTCCCAGGGTTGCTTGCCTGATCAGGTGTGAAGTCCCAGGTTATGGGAGTTGATAAACACCCTAGGAACCTGCCCAAATCTTTCCACACACTATGTCACCCAGGGACTGGCCACCTCAGGTCCTATTTCAGTAACAGGTGATGTCCAGCCACAACACAGAGATGTAGTGTTTGCTCTGGAAGGCAAATGTAAAAGTAATGACTGTCATCCCCCTCCTCCTAAGTCTTAGATTTTATTGCTGGGCAGATATAATATGATATGGAATATCCCTCTGGTCAGTTTGGGTCAGCTGTCTTGGCTGTGTCCTATCCCAGATCTTGCCCACCCCAGCCTGCTGGTGAGGGCAAATGTTGGAGAGACGGCCTTGATGCTGTGTGAACACTGCTCAGCAGTAGCCAAAACACTGATGTGTTATCAACATCTTCCTAGCTGCTAATACACAGCACAGCCCTATGAGGACTGCTCTGGGGAAACTCCGTCTCAGCCAGACCGAATACACATAAAAATTTAATTCATAATGCATGACTGACATCAGAACCACAGCTTTCGGTATTCGATATTCAAACATTCTTCAAAACCTTGTGTTACTTTCTTTCTTAACATGCCAAGTATTTGATAATTTGAAAAGAAGTTTACTGTCTTTTAACTGAACCAGCCAAAAAGTGCCACAACTTCAGTTAACCACACTGTGGGAAAACTCTTACCAAATGGTTGAAGTTTATTGCAAATGAAAACAGTAGAAAACAAGCTCCATAGTATAGTCCCACTTATAAACAGCATACATATATTTTTTGAAACAGAGTAAGATACTCTATTTTTAAAGCTATGCTTGTTCCTTTGTCTGGTATGTTAAAGTAGAACTTTGTGGGGTAGTAAGAAGTTCTTATGTGTCATAAACCCAAAAAATTACTTCAGAATGACATGAACTCTAATGCCAATTAATGCAGTATCTGTTCCAGCAAACTTTTAGGTATTCTAAGAAATAGATGTGTTTTAGTGTTAATAATCTAATGTCAACAATCTAACGTCAACAATCTAACTTTGGTGCAGTAGCCATTTTAAAGCTGTTTCAAGAAAGGCACAATAGATTATTTTTTTAATATATATGTACTGTATAGTGGCAAAATTTCTATTTTTAGAGGTCTGAATGGACACACACACCCATATGATAGATAGTTACTGCTGGCATTTTTAGGTGGAGAAGAAGTAAAAGTAGGTTGAACGTGTAAGTATGTGTTGCTTGTTATTTATAATAACAGTGTGGTTTGGTACTGCTTCCCATCTCAGAATAACCTTTCTTGTGCAAATATACTGGCCAGTTGACATTTTGTATACCTGAGAAAACTTAATACAAAATGTTCAAGAAAATGTTGTTCACATTGTCTTGCAAATATATCATAGTTTAAATGACCATTTTGCGGATTTTATCTTAGATACTTGAGTGCAAAAATGGGTTGCTTTTTCATAAATGAAGTTTATGATGAGAGAGACATTAAATGATTTGACTGCAAATAATGTGTATTTTACTCCATTGTGTTCTGAGAAAAAAATCCTGACACTTTTTACTTAAAGTAGGTAGCATAATAGTAGCTTGAGCAATATAAATTAAATGTTAAGTTTTGCAAGTTTATTTCTTCGGGTGTAACCTGTGTATTTCAGGGCTCATTTCTATAAAATCTCTAGAACTGAAAAAATAATAATAAAATCTCTATAATTATCTATTACCAACAATATAATTACATAAATAGGTACTAAAATTATGATAAAAATAATGAAGGCTACTTTAAGGTAAAAGGTTATCTCAGTACTCTTTCCACTGAAGAAAATTACTAACAGTAACAGAATATGAAATGCTTATGTTAATATGAAACAAGTGTCTTTCTAAATGCCATTTTAATCGCATGATGGGTGGAAATGCTTTCTAAGGAAGATTATATTCATGAAAGTAGGAATTTTTAAAATAATTCTCATTTTTATATCTTTTTATTTATTCAGAAAATAAATGCTAAGCTTCATGACGGAGTGTGTCAGCATTGCAAAGGTATCTTGGAGTGGCGGGTAAAATTCAACAAGTACAAACCGCTAACAAAGCCTAAAAAATGGTAAGTTAAGATACTTTGTGTTAATCACTGATATTGTTGTTGGTGGACTTTTTTGGAAAAATATTCTAGTTTTGGAAACTCACAAGTAGTAGCTGCTACTGCATGACATTCTTCAAATTTGGAGTCTGCAATGACAGTATGTATTTTCTAATATATAATTTTCTAATTTGCTAGTCTTTTATCTTAAACATTTGAAAAGAAAATATGGAGAAGCAACTGCTTCCCTCTTTGCTGTTAAAATGCTTGAACTGTGAACCTGTTTATGTTTCCAAAACAGTCAGTGTGTCCTCTTGAATAAAAGTCAAATTCAAACCAGTTGTAACGCAATATTCTAAGGCCTCCTTGCAAGTCAGTACTAGAGGTATCTGAACATCTCTTAACTTTTGTAGTTCACAAAGACTCTGTAGAAGTGAGGAGAGGAAGGCTTTAGTTCTGTGTCATATCGAAACTCATCAGCAACATTGTTCTCAGCATTAGAGGCCTCAAGTCCTACAAAATTTTTGCAATGCATGCATTTCATTACCTCCTGCTATGTTCTTTCTTTTTGTACATGAAACTATAATCCTAAATATTAAACATTTAGCATTATTTGCATAAAGTTCTGTATTACGTGGTTTTGGATAAGTACATAACAGTTGGAAGGGATCTTAAAGACTATCTAGTTCCAACCTCCCTGCCATAGGCAGGGACACTTTCCACTAGACCAGGTTGCTCAAAGCCCCATCCAACCTGGCCTTGAGCACTGCCGGGGATGGGACAGCCACAGCTCCCCTGGGCAACCTGTGCCAGTGTCTCACCATCCTCACAGTGAAAAGCTTCTTCCTCATATCTAATGTAAACCTCCCCTCTGGCAGGTTAAAGCCATTCCCCCTTGTCCTGTCACTCCATGCCCTTGTAAAAAGTCCCTCTCCAGATTTCTTTTAGGCCCCCTTCAGGTACTGGAAGGTTGCTCTAAGGTCTCCCCAGAGTCTTCTCTTCTCCAGGCTGAACAAGCCCAACTCTCTTAAAATACAAGCCCAAGTATCTTAAAATAATGTCTAGGTTTATGATAAATTAATTTTCTGAAGTTGATACTCTCTGCTTTCTTCTTGCTCAGTTGCAGAGGTTCTTACCTCTGTGGCAGCAGGCACAGCCAGTGTTTCAACAATGAAACACTTAAAGGAGATGCAGCTGGGCTGTTGTGTATGACAGTTTTGTCACAGTAGTTTGTGTTTGTGGGTCTTGAATTATGTACTTCTAAAATACTTATGACTGCTTGAAGGGGTTCTGTAGATGTATGCGTGAAGTTCCATGAATGATAGTGTATTTTATTTTGATTTTCAGTAGGTTAAATGGGAAGGAATGTTTGTTCATACTATATCCCCCACTTGTGAGAAGCTTTTTAATATGAAACCACATGGAGCAAGTATTTTGGTTTTAGTAAGCGATTTCATGCTTTCATGTAAAACAAATAGATTAGGGAGAAGTCTCACTGGTTCTGAAAGTAAACATTCTGGGTTCTGTTCACCATGGATGAAGTTGGTATTTCTCTTCTTTAACTCTTTCTTGAATGGCTGTGTGTGTCCCATTTAAAAGTAATGAGCTGTAGCAAATCCTGTGGTGGTGGATCTGGTTCTTTTGCTTCTTCTTTGCCTACTGTTGAAGGAAAAAGAGGCAAAAAAGTATGTAAATCAGCATTGGAAATAGAAGAAGTGACATTGTGGGACAGCTGCTTATGGCAGAATATGTGATGTTTTCCAACATGTTTTTGAACAAGTAAATTGGGCTGCAAACGATTTTAGCTCTACAGGTGATGGTTTCTAGCCCAGCCTACAGCAGTACAATGGGCCACTGTTCTGAAAGGACAAAACTATGAAGATTTTCAATGTGTGAAGCTTCTAGGGGAAGTAAACACATTGTGGACATTAAAAACATGATTATTATCAAGAAAAATTAATTTTTCTCATCACAGACAATGGTAATGGAGGACTTTTCTGTATCTTTCCACAAGTTATCCCTAGTTTACTTGTATTTCAAGTGTTTAATTATTACACTTAAACTCTTTTAGAAAAAAGTCTGCCCACCTTGCATTGATAGTGCCACTGGTGTGGTGTTTGGTGTGACATAGCCATAGACATTATTTTTAATACTAATGCAACTGATCATAGAAGAAAGACAAAAAAAACCCTGAAACTAAATCAAACTACGTTGCTATTTCCAGTGACATCTAACTGTAGGTTTTCTGTGGGGGAAAGGGAAGACCAGAAACGCTAGGCAGTTCAGACATTGTTTTTGTTAAATGTGTCTACAGCAATTCTTGTGATTTTACAGCTTCTCAAGGAGTTGGATACGTACATCTTAGTAATGAAATACCATCAGAATCTAGATGAAGACAGTGTAGAGGGAAAGTGATAGTACATAAGATGGGGATTTGAGAAAGAAAGTAAAAATTTCTGTTTAACTACGTGCTAGTTAGGGCATCTGTCCTTATAAGGCATGCAAAAACACTTGATTTTTTTCTTCAGTCTGTTTTAGCCAAGTCTGCAAATCCACTGTTCAGAACTGTATCCTAAAACTTTCCTGACAGCCTTTTGAGTGCCTGAGGAACCAAAAAAGAGTGACTTCAAGGCAGCTGCATTACATGGGATATATAGTTACGTTCTCCAAAAATACAAGGCTTTCTAAATATCAGCTGAATGTTAAGGCCTAGCATTTTAAAAGTGACATAATCTACAGAGTTTTATCAGATCTTTAAAAAGAATAGCAAAAATACATAATTATGTTGTGAAGGATACAATTCTGTGCAGGAATTTGTATTCATAAACAAAGTCCAACAGTGGCTCTCTTAATACTCTGAGATAAGGTAAACGATGACACTGTGGTGTTTGAATCAAAAGCTTTGTACTTGAAAAATGCATGCACCTTTTTATACCATATTCTTGTTTCATTCTGTCACTGAACCAAAAAAAGTTATGTAGCTTTTAAAGTAAAACTGCCTACTGAAATTAATTGTAAGGTTTCTTTTGTTACTTTAAATAGAAAAATTAGTGATTTTATGATTCTACTTCATTTCTTGTTTTAATAATTCTTCCTGAAAAAGTTAAAGAAGAGGTAAGATAGGCAGTTATTTTGATAGTGCTGTTTGTTGAAACACCAAATGTTTCATATGAAACAGGCCTATAAAATGTTGTTACTCTTTTGAAGAGTATACCTGTATTGTCTTTGAATACATAATGTTCAACAAGTGTCTACAAATATTTTTTTAATCATGTTTTCTTTCTCTCACACACAGTGTGAAGTGCTTCCAGAAGACTGTAAAAGATCCATACCATAGTATTTGTCGACCATGTGCTAGTAAGCTAGAGATCTGTGCTAAATGTGGAAAAAAAGAAGAAATAATAATTCCGTAAGTAGTCCATAGGTTACATAGTTCCAGTACTGAACTGCTTCTTCCCCTTTTAGTAAAGCTTGTTGGGAAACTGCCAAGAAGCTGTTGTACTTCATGCCGTATTCTGAATAATCCTGACAGGAATAAGTAGGAGTCATTACCATCGCTTTCTTCTGCTGAAACTGGGGGTGCAATGCCTATTGATGTTAGTGGAGCTGGGAAAAACAAAAAACAAAACCAAACCCAAAGTCTTTCTTGGTTAAAGCACTTTAATACCAATTGAGTATCTTCCTTAGGAACAAAGCACTTCTAAATGGATTTCGGTCTAAAGCACCATAAAATATGCATAAGCCAATTTACTGTTTGCATTTTGTCTGTCATTTGATGATTCAGTTACTAGTGAACAGAAAAACTAAACAAGGGCTAATACTGAGTAGAATTACCTCACATATTCAGCATGCTTTTGGCTTTTTTGATCTCTTTTTCGAGCATCCTATATTAATTTACTAGTTTGTGACAACTGGACAGCTGTTGCTTATTTGGTCAAACTGTTCACATGTATTTTTTGTTGCTTCACAGACCCTTTTTCCTTTATTGTCTTTTATGTCTTTCCTTTTCAACGTGAAAGTAACTTTAGGTTACTATCCTTCTCCTCCTTTCCACTTCCCGCCCCTTTCCATCACTGGTAGAATATTCTACCCTCCATCTCATTCTTGTGTTAAAGAAAAATAAATTCCAGAAGTGGGTGGTGACAACATCCTCTTTCTTTCTGCAGGATTGATAAAGGACAAGACAGAGCTGAGATTGTGACTGCTAAAAATGGCCAAGAGAGCAGGGAGTTGGAGGATGAGCTGGATTTTGATGCAAACTTACGTAGTAAGGACAGTGATGAAGATACTGATGTGCTTGAAGAACAATTTAAAAGTATGAATTTTGAAAGGACAGAGATCTAAAAGGCTGAGTTTATATGGGAGACTATATGCTGTCAGAAGTGTTAAATCAATGTTTGCCTTAAACTGCACTGAAATCTGATTTTGTATCTTTGGTCCTTGCATATAGATGTTGGCACTGTGTATTATGATGCTTGTTGAAGATTTTGTATTAATGTTGGGGGTTTTGTGCATAAAGAGCAGAATTTCTTGTGAAAAAGATTCAGAAATTGAATTTTTAAGCATAGTATTTCATGCATATATGTAACAACTTCCTGTTTTTCTAAATTAAGCCTTTGTGTAATTGTTCTGAATTCAGTATTATGCTACTTTGTATTGCCACTTGGAAAGCTACATGAAAGTCTAGAATAAATACATAGTCTTGTCAGAAAAAGGAAGAGCTAAACCAGTGTATTTTGCTGAAGGAAAATCTTGCAACTTCTGTCCATGAGTTTCCAAATAGGGTCAAAATACCAGGTGGCTATTACCGTTATGCTTGTTGTCTCTCTTCTATGCAAAAAAGAGGGTGTAAATGCCATCACCAGTACAGTTCATGAGCACTTAATGCTTATTTACCATCTATAAGTATGCACTATGAATTTGTGACCTTGTTACTACTAATGTTTTGAAAAGAAAAAAAAAAAGATTTTTTAGAATTGCTCATAACAGATCCCACACTTTCATTTCCTTTGTCTGCAGATCTAATATAGTTTGCTCTGATATGAAAACACTTGTATAGTGTAGTGGTGCTTATATAGTTCCTGATTTTCAGTTCTTTTTAGGGATTATTTCAATGTAGGTTAAGCTCTAGGAAGAACTTAACTGAATTTGTAGTAACTATCTTTTATGGGATTCAGAACAGTTTGATTTCTTCTTTATTGTCTTCTATTTCTAGACATAAAACTGAAGAAGTACTTTTTAGTAATTAAATAGTTTAAGCTGTGACAATACAGTATGCCCTTTTTACTAACTGTGTAGCAGGTATACATCTGCTTGGGTGTTCTGCCTGATGTACAGTAGTGTAGCAGGCATGGAAAAATTTGATTACCAAACTACCTTCTTCGAATGAATTGTGAGGAACTTCAGCTCTGGGATTATTCTCCCCACCTACAGTGGGGAAAATACTGAAACTTTATCCTTTGGGTAAAGATAGCTACCCTGTGGTGCTATAGTTGACCTTAATTTAAAAGAAAATGTGGTTACCAGGCTGTAGACTACTAAGACATTCAGCAGTCAATAGCCTAAAAGTATATTATTTAAAGGACAACTTTATTATTTAGTATTGACAATAACAGACAACAGCAAAATTCTTGTAATCAGTCATGGAACAATGAACTTTTACTATTTTTTCTTAAATGTGTAGCTGCTTGTCACTACACATACGGCCTTAAGAGTAAGCTTTTTCTTCTACTACATGTATTTTGATTTGTATTCTGCTTTAATATTATACATTAAAACAGTGTTTTACCTTTTCTAAACTATTTGTAAGTTTGTATCTTAATACCTGAAACATGCTTTTGTATGTTTTTTTGATGATCTCTAAGGACTGCTTGGTTTCTTCTTTTTTGTTTTCTTTTTCCCATTCCTTTTCTGTGCTGCCCTTCTGCAGCTGAAGAATGTGATCTGTCCCATCTATATTTTTTGCATAGGTAGATTTTTGCTAAGTGTTTGAACTGTTGAAAAACATTCTACTGGTCTTCTCTGTTCCAGTGATGTGTCCAGACTTCTGAGGCTTGTCACTGGGGCAGCCTAAAGTTTACTAAGTGTTTGGGTAGTGTTCTTTTTCCGTCTGGGGTTGCTTATTACATAGTTGTTTGTAGTCGTGAAGAACTGGGACTAATGACCCAAACAACCCATCTTCTTTTTCCGCCCATTCTACAAACGCGTTTATAAGCTAAACCACTAGTTTTGTGATTAAACATACCAGTTTTTTCACTTAACTGCTACTAATAAAATCCAAGAAGGTTGGAAGTTTAAAATTTGTAGAAGAGCAATGGTTTCTCTAGGAAGAGTCAGTAAAGCAGCAAACCACCAGGAGGTGCTTAGTGGCAGAAAAGGAGGTTGGTATGTTTAGAAGTGACTGGAAATTGGTGTGAAGGTCATGTTGCATTGACAGATAAATCCTCCCAGCAGGACAGCAGTGACGTGTGAGTCAGTGTGACATCGCCTGTTGTCCTACCAGTTGACGTTGATAAAGACAGAGTAAACAAAGAATAAAGACAGAGTAAACAGAATATCCACACAGATGACCAGGCAGGGAGGGAGAGGGAGAGCTAATAAGTGATCTGAAATTAACTTCAGAAAGGGTCTCTCTGAAGAGGAAACCATGAGTGTCATCAAAAGTGAACAGGCTTTTGAAAGGGACATACGTACGGGAAATGTTCTTCCATTTGGAAAAATTAGGTAATGACCTAACCCTTTGACCGAAGGTGAGGGGAAATCCTGAAAAGATAAGAAAGCATGTCATGGAACTGGCAGGATGACAAAATGAGGGGAAGGATGCTCTTCTCAAAGTGGTGACACAACCTGTCAGTACGGAGGAAGAGCAGTACCACACAGGTGAGCAACCAGTAGCCGCGAAACACAGACGTTAGGGAAAGTCCCCTGAAGTTAGTTAGCTCTATTTGGCCTTTAGGTGGGTATTTGGTGCCACAGCTGATGAAACTTTGCTGTGAGAGAGCACAGCTGCAGTGGTGGCTGGCTGCGTAGTCCAACCTTTCTCTCTGAAGGCAGCTTTTGATTCTGGCAAGTGTTCTGCCTTTAGCCGTAACTGTGGTTAGAAGATACACTGCTGGAAGTGATTGCTGCAGCTGACGCCATGTATGATGGTGGTTGTGAGTCAGCTTGAAAGATTGCTAACTTGGACTTTGGATCCTTACTGAATACAATGCTGAACAAGAGAATGATAGGTGTTAATATTAGTCATCTGAAGAATAAACGTGATGCTGCTGACACAGTTGAATTCCTGTTAACTGATTGTCCTAAGGAGTGTTACCAATTCTTATTTAGTGTGACTCAATGCTGACAATAATTAATTGGATAATGGACTGTCGGCATGTGTAAGGCAGACATGCAAGATGATTCTTACTTCACAGGGGAAATGCTTATCATAGGCTCGAGCTGTCAGAACTTGGCATTGTTGATTGTACAGGCTTCCGGAAAACCAAATTGCCACATACAAGGATTTCTCAGGACAATCTGGATTCATTGCAGTATGAGGAGAGTCGGGTAGGGACACAGTGCTGCCTCCTGGCATAATTCCTGAACAGTCTTCTCTGTCAAAGTTCACAGTCCTCTCTGAGACATCCTATCATCAAATGTTTTGAAGTATCAGGTGATACAAAAAAAACATTGCCTAATGATTTACTTCCAGTTTTGCATGGGCTGGGCTGTTCTTGTTTTGGCTACTGATGAATCTGTATGCCTCTACAGTACTAAAATAATACCAGCCTCTGAAGGTTCATAGGGCTACTGGTTAATTAGGAAAAGGATGGCTTGTTTTCTCCCTGTAATGGGCATGTATGTGGATGCTGAAATGCAAATCATGGCATTAGCAAGGAAAATAGAGAAAAACATAGCAGGTAATCAAATATGAGCCACCTTGTAAACCTCTGGCCCTGCAATTACATGTGTTTTCTTTGTTTAGGAGTTCTCACAAGTAAATGGATGCTGGTAGAAAATGCAGAACTACCTCTGCTTACAGGAACCATCAGGATGACTTGCTGTCTTAATGAAGAAAGGTTTGTAAGTATCATAAGGACATTCTTGATAACCAGATGTTTAGGAAGCTGGTCATGTATGCTGCCAGCATCTGTTTTGCTTCATTCTTCTGCCTACTTTTTATCTAAAAGCTATTAAAGGACAAAACTGTATATGAAAAAGAAAGTATGTGCCCTGCATACATGCTCTTGTCACGTACGGTAAGTGTGTGAAGTAGGGTTCATAAATCTCAAAACAGTTGAAAATACTAGTGTGTGAAGTGAAGTCTGTCTAGGGATTGATAACATGTTCTCAGACAAATTACCAGTAAGAGATTAGAAATTAAATACTTGGTATATTTCAGGTAACAGGTTTTCCTGTTGGAGCCTCTGAGATAGTTAAGATTAAATCAGATGGAGTTATCTTTTTTTCTAAGAAAACAACTATTTTTAGAAATAGGGATAGACTCCTAATACAGTCATCAGTAAGAAGTTTGAGTATCTAAAAACAGGGGCTGAAGATCACATCCAATGCATTAAGATTTGACCTGAATTTTGGATATGTATAGCATCTGTACATGTATTTGCCTTTGATACAGCTTTAGAAACCCAAATTAAAAAGGTCTGTTGTAGCCTGATAACTAAAAGTGCTTTGAAAGCAGTACCAAATATTTTAATGCTTTTTGCTTTAAACTGTAACATGGAAGACTGGTTTTGTGCAAAAATCATATGGATTATGCATGCTTCTGAATGGCAGCACTCACTTGAAACCTCTCTTTAGGACAGCTTTTCTTTCTGAGTCTCCAGTTTGTCACAGGTATGCTCCTTGCACTTGGCTCGCTCTTTCCTAAATCATATGTGAGCAAGCGTGACATAATGTGTAAAAAGTCTATAAAGGGTACCCATAGTTAACATATTAGTATGAAATATTAGTATGTGTAGCAGCAGTGGAATTTGTAGCTTTTTTTTGTATCAGTAATTGCAAGCTACATGTGTAACAGTTTGTTTTTTTCTTTTTTCCCCTCATAAACCTCACTCTGTCTCCTGACTGTTTTGTTCCTTTTAGGGTTATTTTCTGTCTTTGTCCCACAGCATGGTTCTGCACTGTAGAAGTTGCTAGCTTGAATGAGACCTGATGGAGCCTCTGACTGACAGCAGCAATAGTTTAGTCTGGGTTATTCCCAGTAGCAGCAACAGGGTTGACGCCAGAACCATAAAACACTTTGAAGTGGTGATGTTTGTGAGATTATGTGAAGTGAAATGAAACCACAGGTCTTGGGGAAAAGGATAAAAGGGCCCTACTAGGTTTTTTAGTATAGTGGAGAAATGCAGAATAACCCCAAGCCTTCCATTTCCAAGGAAAAATAAACCCCATAAAATCAGACCATATCTATTATCTTGGCAACAGCAGATTCACTATTGTGTGACAAAGATTTTAGAAGTCTCTGGGAATGGCTAATATGTTCAAAGGATAATAGCTCTTTATTCAGTTGTGGTTCAATCTTTCTTGTAATGTTAGTGATGGAATCTCTCAGAATGCAACAACCTGTACTTGATTATTGGGGAAAAGATGTAATACAGTCTTTATGTTGTAAAACTGTAATCCTATGCTCTGCAAAGATCATAAGGATTTGGCATAAATGTCTAGAAACCTGATGCTGTTACGCAAAAGTCTATTTTATTGAAGTGTTACACGAAAGATTAAACCATCTGAAAGCTGTGCAGTGACTGGAGCTTCAGAGCTATTGTATTTACTGCTTTTCTACAGAAAGTTCTTTCTTGTCCAGCTCTTTCCAGTTTTTGTATTAACCTGGGTTGCATTTGGGTATTACTGACATTGTGCTTTCTCTGCACCAAGTAAGAATTACGCCTTGGATCATCACATTCAACTAGTTCCTTTCTCATCCTCATGACTGAACTTCTCTCCGAAGTCTTTGGAGTACAAACAAAGTTGATGGCTGGTTGTGTTACTTCAAAAAGTCACATTAGCAGCTGAGTGGCTGTGGCAAACAAAGACAGGAGCGCTCATCCAGTGCACTGCAGAAATTCACACCATTGGGCATTCTGGGTCCCTGCCATTCCTAGCATGTAGCAGTGCAGACCTCTCCGCTATAGAGGCTAGAAGTAAAAGTGTGCATTGTATGCCCACTGAGCAGAGAGATTTTGTTTGTCATTAATGAGAACACAGTGTGTGGCTTACCAGGAAGGGTAATGTATATGTCTGTAGTCTTTAAATGGAGAGAAGGGTCTCTGCCAAATATTTGAGGGTGTCAGGCAGGATGCCCAAGCCAGGTCTATCCAAAATGCCATGAATGGGGAGATGGGTGGGAAGAAAAAGCTTCTAACTGAAATAAACACAGCCCTGAGCTTGTGAGTGTGGTAGTACAAAGGTTCACACAGTCTGCCACTGCCTCTCTTCATCTTTGCAGTCTACAGCTGTCACTGCAGTGTGCATGGAAATTATCCAAATAATAAACCTACAACTTCACCATAATTAGCCTGACAAGAAGTTAGTGTTTATTGCCCCCTAGCATGTTAAATGAGATTTGCAAGTGGGCTGCAAACAATGAAATAGCTTGTTGCGGTTTGTGTTCTCTAAATCTGAGGTGAAAATGAAAGCAACTTAAATAAAACTTTGTAATGAACAGTAACTATTCTGTAACGTACGTGTTCTCCTGAGGCCTAAATGGAAATTACTGAAAAAAAAGACTAATTTAGATTAAGAATCCTGTTCCTGAAACTGAAGCTAGACTTTCAGAGTGACAAAATATGGATTTATCACTTTACCTCTGTAATTTAATGGGTTTTAAAATTATTTTCCCCTTTGTATTAAAGCTATGTTTACCATTAGTTACACTATTGAGCATAGCTCTATTCTGCGCAAAGCTATACCTTTAACCACAAGACCACTCAGTCATGTTGTTCTGCAACTAGGAATGCTGTGCTCCTTCCTAAAGATAAGTAGTGTTACAAGGGAGCTTGATTTACTGAACAAACTATGTTGGTGGCTAAATACATCTTCCCTAACTGATTTAACATCAAGATAGTCCACTGGGCTTCATGATTCACTTGATTTGTCTGAGGATTGGGGGTTTTGTGTGTGTGTGCTTTTATTTACATGAGTGGTTTGCTACTCCATTGTAGGCAAAGCCCCCAAATCTGTGTGGCAGTTGCTGTTCCAGAGTATACTGCATAAATCAGTTAGGGTAGATGCATGAGGTCATAGGAGCTACCAGATCAGCAGGAGACTTGCAACAGAACCTGTAACTCTCCAGTGCCTTAGCTATTTGATTTTGCTGTCCACCGTGTGACTTTGACCCACAATAGACAAATGAGGGGTGTGACCTTGTATAGAGTGAGAATCTTAAAACAAAAAAAAAGACAAAAAAAAACCTAACTTTTTTTTAGTTAATAAATGTGGAACAAAGAAAACCGTGCTAAATATATATATATAAAGCCTTGTGTTTAAAATCGGTACATTTTCTTGCCAGTGAGATGGGGAATGGCGGAGCGAAAGGTAGGAGTGTTTCT